TTTAAATGTCTGGTCAAGAGAACCGGGGATGAAACGCCTATCATAGGCTATCCATTGGTCAGGTTTCTTTTATGCATATATTAGTATTAGTTCATTGTATGTTTCTTTGTTGCTCAGTTGTGGCTTTTTCACATCTTATCTCATTTTTTCCCCATATTTGTGGCTTTCTACTTAAAACTATCAAATGAAACTAAAGATGCTTATACTTCTACTGAAAAATGTAATGATTTTCTTGGTGCTTGGTTTGTACAAAAGCCCGGACTTCCACGCATGGTTGTTATAATATAATAATCTCTTGAATTGTATTCTCCAAACCTTTACAGTGTCCTGCTTCAGAGGGATTACAGTTTCCTAAGAGACATCAACATCTGGCACCCCTTTGTCACCATCGGGGTTTATTCCTCCACTCTATCCGCTGCCATGAGCAACCTCATCGGAGCCTCACGCATCCTCTACGCCCTGGCAAGGGACGACTTGTTTGGTAGGTCGCACAACATTTCCTTCTGGGGAGGCATTTCTTCTGAAACTGCAGTTAGAGTTCTTGTTGGGGGGAGAGAGAAAGATAGGCTTTTGGGTAGAGACGAACAACACTGATGGAATTTCAGTGAACAAAGTGAAATAGGCCTATTTTTCTATTTTTTTTTATTACATCAATAAAAACGTTCAAATTAATGGGGGGTTTTTCTCATGAAGACATCGGATGGTCTCCTTGGACACCCCAAACCATTTTGTTGATGTTTGAAAAAAACTTAACTATCTTTTTTCAGACTTGATTTAAAAGCTCTGTGTAACCCATTTAAATATTACAAATTTTTCAAGGTTAAAAACAAAAACTGATGACATCATCTCAGTTTGGGCCAAATACTTGAGACCCCACCATCAACTAACAAGCTCAGTAGACAAAAAGTCAATGGGGGATTTTTAATACAAGTTTGAATCATTGCAAAATACGCTCTGTGGCCATAAACATTTTACACATTTTGTTCTGCAAGATGATATTCCAAAAATGAACACCACTGTTATGATGTTCGAGGCGTAAATTCAATCAGCAGAAGTAAAAGCTAACTTTAGGCTATAAAGAAACTACACCACGGTCACACAACTTCAACGTCACCATCGCTGAAGTGTTCAGCATCATGACATTTAATGTCACCCATAACCTCTGGAGTCTCATTTAGCCACTTGTTAGCAACAGCCCAAGACGCGTAAACATTTCAAAAGTCATGGGCAGGGTATTTACTGATGTATTTTATGTTGTATAACAAAAGATGAAAACCTCTTAAGCTTGTGTTATCCACAGACCTTATTTGAGGAATCTAACCAAGAAACCCATAGACTTCGAGGCGAGGGAAATGGAGGTGCAAAAATGCTAATTCATTTCCAGGTTTTTAACGCATTCCTAAAGCATTCTATGAGGTTAAATATTACATGAGGTTAATTTCTCGTCACCAACATTTAGCCCCTTAATACTTACGTTTCTTTTCAGCCAGTGGTTCAGATGCAAAAATGTATTATTCTTGGAAAATGAAAGTACTCCACAACACTTTAAATAGGAAGGCCCATTCTAGTTTCAGTAAATGCAAGTAAACAACCAAACCTTGAGTTTTAAATCCTTCTCTTAAAGAAAGTAAAATAAATTTCCCAGTGGATTGAGATAAAGACTGACTGCACTTGAATATTGTTTTAAGACAGACTGGAAAAAATCTTATCTCAAAACTTATAGCTTCCAAGCTTTCAAGGCAAATTAGCGTCTATCACAGAGTTTCCTTTTGATTCCCTTTTTTGCAGAAGCGGAGTGTTTCATTTTATTTTTGTTATGACACAGATGCGTCATAGAACACACTTTCGTTAAAATTAGTTATATAGTACGTTCTACTGAGGAACTAAAAGCTTCATGATTGACTCCGATATCTCTGACTTCTGAATCTCACCAACAAGTTTAGATAACAACAAGGCTAAATAGGGATTGTCATAATAATATATCTACTTCAAATAAAACAAACACATTTTTGGTTTTTGGTTTTTAATGTCATGATTTCTTTTTGTTATTTTATGCCTTTTATTGGATAGCCAACTACAGAGGTGACAGGAAATAAGGGTGGAGAGAGAGACAGGGAGTGAGAACAATGGTCCCTGGCCAGACTTCTCTCTCAAGCTGCCTTTTGTCATTATTTTTTCGATTACTTTTTTCCATTCTTCACTACTTCCAGACAGAGACTGTCTGAAGGTGTGGGACCTTGTCACTATTTGTGTAATGCATTACATTTAGACTACAAAGAAATTTATTAAATCTCATTCTTCTCCTCCTGTATTTTGTCAGTCTTGCATCACATTGCCAAGAAATTAATAGCTTAATGAGCTCTCAGATGTACAGTCTGGTAACAATTCTGTTCAGTTCAGCTATGAATCCTCCCCTACAGTCAGTTCATAAAATGAACCAGACACTCATTTTCAAGTTCTCCATAATTATCCCGTGATCTTGAGAAAACAAAAGTTGTTTTCTTGGGATAGATTATCTCAATATCTGGAGAAATCAGTCTTTTGTTTTCCTGAGATAACAAGATAAAAAAATAATTGTAAGCATGGCTGTTCTCGGCTTCAGTAGTTTTATGAGATGTTGGATTAATTTCAAGAATCCTGAACCCTTAAGGATATATAGATTGTCTGCTTTATTTAAAGAAATCAATAAAACAACAAGCAGCATAATTAATGCTTCTTGAAAGTTTTAAAGCAAAACTTGTCATGTTAACCATGCAGTTATTTCCACAGTCTTTCCCATCTCAAGCGAACGCAGCATTCGTGTGATTTCCATCCCTCCCTGCCTCGCTGTGTGAATCCACGCTGCCTGCTGCTGCTTTCTCATTATTAATGACTGTGAGCAACTTCCTTATCCCGTGCTCTGCTCCTTTCTTAAGTCTATTGCAAATTGATTTGGCCTGTTTTTGTCCACTCGTGTAGCCGTGTGCGCGTGTGTCACGGGAGGTAAATGACTGTATTAGTGCGAGTTCCTCCGTGGAGTGATCAGAAGCAGATGACTCATGTTCAGCTGTCTGTTCACCAACAGACAAAGGGTTAACTTAGATTAATCTGTTTAATTAAGAGTCAACGACTGTGGAACCGTAAATGTGTAATGTTCTTGTAAGGGGGATGAAGTGGTTCGTATGACCACACTGCATACACACGTTTGTGTGTGTGTTGGTCTCGTCGTTGTCATTCATGCGTGCCGCTCACAGCTTAACCTTGCCACTGTCCTATGCAAACGGAGTGATGGATGCGTCAATTCTCCAACACACACGCATGCAGAGTTTGTCCTGCCATCCCACACATCTTCCATTTCTTTCTTCTCTATAACTCGCTAATCTCTAACTCCTTCACCTCTGTCCTGTCTCTCTCCATCCTCTCCATCACTCAGTCTTCTCCTCTCAGCTGCATTGATTTGACTTTAAAGTCTCGCTGATTTAATTCCAGTCCTTTATCAGCTGTGAAATTTAGTCTTAAACTCGGATTCCCTCTCCACCAGCCTGCACCTCCCTCCTCCCCGCCTCCAGTCTCCCCCATTTTGAGTTGCCCCTCCCCCCGCCCTGCCCATATCTTCTCACATCTCTGTTGTTGGGCCTGTGTTTCAGTCTGGATGTGTGGCTGTACAGAGCTGCTAATCCTTTCAACACAGTCATCATCGCCATAAGATGAAATGTTGTGTATGAAAAAACTAAATGAGAGGCTGTATGTAAATGAATTGTCTTCCAGTAAACCATACAGCCATATAAGGTATGAAATAAAGTTAAGTGTCAGCTTAGTTTGTCAGCCTCGCTGTCTCGCCCGCCCACTCGCTTTCCCTCTCTCGTGATCTCTCTTTTCTTGACTAGACGTGTAGTTAATTACATGAATTTGGTTTAAATGTCAGTAACATTAGAAATTGACGTCCTCAGTCCAAATTTGATCTGATCTGTAAACTGTAACATTATCGCTGCTGCTCTCAGGTCTGATTTTCTATAATCTGATTTATATCTGTTGCTATAGGAAACAACATGAAATATAAGAGAAAAAGGAGCACAATCTATGTGTTTTAATCTGCTTTTAGTTTCTCTGGCCATAAGATGAAGCTGTTGTAATTTTTCTTTAACTTTAAGCAGGCCCAGGCATTTATTGAGGGTTATTTTTAACTTATTTTACTGCAGTTTAGTTGTATTAGCAGGACTGAACAAATACACAATATAATGTGTTGTTTCAGGTACTGGTGATCTGATGAAATATGATCCAGGGAGGCCAGTTGAAGTTATAGATCCATGAGTTTGATGACTTGTCAGATTTTAAAACACTGCACATTGGTTTTTAACAGAGGTGTGGACTTGAGTCACATGACTCTTAATTAATCTCTTAATTGATGAGTTCATACCAGACTTGATAACATGACAAAAGACTGGCAAATCAACTTGGAATGTAACACCAGTGACTTGTGTCTTCACTTGGACTTGAGCCTTTTGACTGGAAAATACTTGATACCTTCCCCCAAGCCCTAAGATTAAAATGTTATTTATCAATATCAATTAATTTCTCTTTAATTCCTAAAACACTAATAACAGTATTCATTACCAGTCCACACTTAGTTCCCCACATCCACATTGTTTGAATCGATCTGACAGCATCCAATCCAGTTGCAGGAGAGAACCATGAAGAGCTAACATTACGTTACTGAGCGCCAGTTGGCAAAAATGATACCAAAGATAACTTCATTCTGTTCATTTTGTTGTGGCATTACATTTAGTGGACTGTGAATTGTAACTTGTTTAGGGCTCAAAACTCAAAGTTTAGGACTTACCTGTCTTGACTTGAGACTTGAGTGCAAAGACTTGAAACTCTTTTGTTGTCAGACCCCACATTATTTTGCAGGAGCCAGCACAGTGGTCCCATTCTAATGAATAAGAGGGCTGCGTTTTTTCACACAGCACACTTGTCTATCTGAACACAGCCTTGCCCCTTTCAGTTTACAAAGTCATTTACTAAAATGTGCACCATTAAAACATAGAATAATCAAAATCCACAGTTCTTATTTCATTCAAAAATGCATTCCAAAGTTTATCTGAAGTCAGTGCATCCAATCAAGTGAGTTACAGAGTTAGGCTTTTTAGTATAAAAAATTCTCCTTGTGTTAACGCCCTCCACTGCAGCTCAGCACAGAAACTTTGTCTGTGGAAACACAAAAAAAAGTGTGTGCTAAAAGGACTTATCTTATCTCAGACTGCTTAAGACTCATTAACCTTTGATTGGTCAGTGCAGGGTGTTGCCACATCACATTGTGTTGGAACAGCTTTTTGTCTTACTTCTTTATTACTTAGCTTTTTTTTTTTTTTCTCAGTCTGCAATGCTACGTCAACACTGTAGTCTCAGTGAAATGAACGAGGGGTCTGTGTTTTTGTCACACAGTGCTATTTTTGGCTTAAACACAGACTTAGCATTTCTTTTAGATTTAAAAAAACAAGAAGGAATACATGTCTCATTTATCCTGCGGGGTGGGGTTTACAGTGGCAAGCAGAAGGAGTTGTGTGCATCTGCAAGAGCAGGCATTAATTGTTAGAAATCCTGTATGACTGAGCTCTTATGGGATGTGAAAAACTACAGACCTTTACCGCATTGTAGGCTTTCATCAGTTCTGTTTCTTATTTCATATTCTATTTTTTGTAACTCACTAAGAAAATGTCCACTGGCAGCAAACGTTGCATGCCAAGTAATGCCAAATGTTAATATTTTATGGAGCTTATGACCAGTAGAGTGTCAGAGATAGTCAGGAATAGTAGTGAGGAGGAGGTGTCAATAGAGGGGCTCAAGTTACACTGTACAAGTGTGAACTTGTGCAATTATTGAATGATTAACATCTATTTGAGTGAGTTTCAGTTAGTCCACGTTCGCAATGTGTCCAGAATTGTGCAACATTTTCCAGTTTTGGGAGAATTGCCTGCTGACATGTAATGGAGAATGATGGTAAATTCATTACGTACATTCTTTCTTTAATTAAACCTTTCTGTCCATGTATGCATCCAGGCTTTCACTGATGTGGGTTATAAAGGTCAATACCGATACTCTTATATGGAAGTTGCTGCTAGAGAATATTCAGTGTCATTTTTATGCTAATAATTCCCTCAAATTTGAAGGGTATGTTGTTTTCACCATGATCTCTTTTCATCCCTGCAGGTAAGGTGCTATCTCCGGCAAAGAAGACGTCCCACAGTGGTAACCCCTGGGTCTCAGTGCTCATCTCCTGGTTCCTTGTGCAGGTTAGTGGGAGATGAAGAGATGAATGATAATAAACATGATACTGATACTTTCAGCCTCTTTCAAGTAAGGCATCACATCTGCTCAGGTATTGACGGATGACATATTAAGTAAAAGTACTTTTATTTTGATCTAATGTGGTGAAAAGTGAAAAGGCAAAGAAATGTAACCAAGGTGTTGTCTGAGGAGAAAAGGGACAAAGAAATCACATTTCTTCTCCAGACACAGCAGTTTCTCCCCTGAGTACCTTTTGTCCAAATTTCAGACACTGCTTCCCTGAATTGGGGCAACATTCAAAAGCTGGCTCTATTAAATTAAAAGGAAAAAGATTTGAATTGTATTCTACCATTTGTTGTTTTACGATCAATGGGCCTCAAACTATAAGGCTTCAGGGGTCAAGAATACAGATACTTGAACAAATAATGCTTGAAGTCATTTATTTTGTTGATTATTGCATTCCAAAAAAGTGCTCCAGGACCACAGAAGTATCTTGGGTTAATAGTTTTCAAAAAGTTTCCCAGAAGTGTGTGAATATTTTAATGTAACAGTTTAATTGTGTTGTTTACCACTAGAAAGATCTCACAAAAGGGAAAGGTGCTGTTTTTCATTTTCTGCATCTAAAATTGCCTCTCTCCTCTCAATCAGTGACTTTACAAAAAACAAAAAACAATTCCTTAAAGATGCTGTGTGGTGCTTACATTTTGTAGAGTGAGGAGTCAGTTGATTTCAAACCAAGAATGTTTCTTCCAAATTATATTTTTTGCAGATGACCTTTTGGATTTTTACTCCAGACACCATTGTACTATAGGACTTAAATAATAAATAATTAATACAATTTTAAACTGACTTGTGAAATGGGAAGTCAGTGAAGGAACGCTAAAATTGGAGTAATGTGTTCTCTTTCACTGAGTGCTGCTGAATATAGTTAGTAGTGTTGTTCCAATAATAACATGGGATGAAATGAAGGCATGAATAACATTTTGCAGGTCAGCAGCAGACAGAAATGGTTTGATTTTAGAGATACTTCTCAACTAATAAAAACAAGACAGAATATCCCCTTTGTACTTGGTTGTCAAGGTTCAGATTTGAAGCTAAATTTCTCCCAGTTCCTGGTTATCGTTATTCTTGATTATTGGAGGCATTTGTGTCCCTTTTTAGTTTTAATTCACAGGTATTTGGTGTTACAAGGGTATGTTTGTCACAAGCGAGAAGGTGTGCTGTGGTTGAATGTGCACTGTATCTAGTTGGGAGTGGTAGCTCATTTTTTCCCCACTATGGAATACATAGACAGCTTATCCTCAATGGTTGATGTGGCTCCCATCTGGGATAAAATAAATAGTATTAGAATAAGAATAGTTCAAGAACAGACATGGACTGATCAGACAGAGGCCAGGAATACAGTAGTATTACAACAGCTGAAGGAACTGACACTTTTTTTTAAAATTTCGACCGAAGAAGACCAAAAATCTGCCTGTGGTGTTTTTTTTCCTTTCTATTGTGTCTTCTAAGTGGGGGAAAGAAGTCAATTTAGACTGAGGAGAAAATATTGGCAGAGGGGAGGAGGGTGAGGATAGAGAGACAAAGAGGAGGAGGAGGATCTTAAGAGCAAATAGGCCTGACTATCCCATCATTATCAGAGGTGAGTGTTAAGGGCTGAATGGCTTGTCATTATTTGTGCTCTCTCTCGCTCTTTCTCTCTCTCTGTGTCCCTTGCTCGTTCTCTTCTCTTCATCCCTTGCCACTCTCCTGGAGTGGAGGAGGAGCAATTAGATGGAAATCGTTAGCTGTGCCGCCACTGCCATCAGAGATCATTGACTCTCCCGTCCTCTTTCTCTCTGCCTCTTCCTCCACCATTTGAATGATTTACTGATGACAAAAGTCTGATTGTAATCTCGCCGTGAACACTCACACACTGCAGGGTTGGAAAGGAAGAAGGAGGAGGAGCGGGGCGGCACGAGCCAAGGCTTTCTTTTATGGGACTTTTAAGTAAAGGGAAAATAAGGGGAGAAGAAAAACAGAAAAAGTTGAGAGAAGATTGAGTAGGATAGGGCTGGAGGTGAGGGTAAAAGTAAGATGCAGCCTGGCACAAACGAATGTGATACTGAAATGGCACATAATGCCAGTCAGTTTTATTCAATGCCTCATTCAATCCCAATTCACAGTCTTGATTGCAACAGTTAATGCGAATGCCGTCAATATTTTCAGATATTTTCAAATCCACTTCATGATCTCCTCCAAGTTGGACATGATCAGAACACCTCCACAGGGAGGTCTTTATCAGAAGCGTTAACCAGCTCAACTGACTTCTTTCAAGTCAGTTGAGCTCCTTACTCTACAGGATTCAGTCCAGCCACCCAGTGGAAAAAAACTCATTTTGGCTAGCTCACTCGCTAACTTGCATACGTTAATATGCCCACAGCAACAACAAGAAGTGGTGAAGGCATTGATGCACAATTTGTTCACTTCTAGTGGGTCTTCACCATAACTTACAACTTGTCCTCTCAGGTGCTGCTTGCCTCCAAGCTATATATTGCTTCGACCAAGTCTCACCACTCTAGTTCTAGCTATAATGTTATGAAGAAGTTACTGGATGCCCAATTTTGGGGCATTCCTTACCCCAAAATTCTACGGGGCACAGCTTTATGACTTTTTTGGCTCCATTATCCATGTGTCTTCAGTTGCCACCTAGAGCGTTTCAGAAGCGGAGTGTCTTTAGAGAGCCTTGCCTGCCTGGCATTGTTGACTTGTGTATTTTGTCCTTAAGAGGATACAAAACATTGTGTTTCTCTACTTCCACAATTAGCTTATCATTGTTTGTCGTGTCAAATTCTTCTGACCTGCCTCTGAATGATTGACTTCTGGCCTTATGCCACACAGATGTGGCTTGACACTTCATCCGCAGTCCATACGGGGTATTTTATTTTTAAAATTCGGACTCTTAATGCGATTTCTGTATCTGACTTCCTGACAATGTGATCTGCTCTGTGCTGCTCAATGTGGTTGGGTCGCGGCTTCCATCAAAACAAACCAGTTGTGTATTCTCTGTAGAGTAGACCGGAGAGACGCTTCTGGGACACACTGAAGCGCTTGTGGAATCACAAGCATTGTCTGTTGGATTTTAGGGTTTAGGCTGAATATTCACTGTCACTGGTACACCGCAGTATAAGTCCTTTAAACAACCATAACTTTTATGTAAAAGTAAGTAAAAAAAAAAAGTAAAAGCAGCTACAATAATCACCCAAAATCTGTTTATTGATCATACTGGCTGAGGGCAAAATAGTATACATTTTCTTGATTATTTCTCGATAAATCTACTTCAGAAAGTATTTATTTACTGTAACTAATCGCTTCATTAGCCGAACCCAAGCACACACAAGCACTGTCCAGTTGTTACCTGGAGACATTTCGGGAAAAGCATTGGCTTTGTAGTCCAAAGCATTACTCAGCCGCTTCCACTCAATTCTTCTTATTTAATAAAAGTGTCTGTGTGAGCCCACTTATTTCAGTGGAATTTATGTACACTGCTTTCCAGTAAAAACAGTCCTTTAAATGGCCACACAAACACATACCCAGGAGAGATTTAGTGTGCGTGTGTGCTTGCTCACACACACGCACACACACACACACGCTTTGTGCGCTATGACAGCAGTTGTCCATGCTGGCCTGTGTCTGAGTTAATGGCTAATTAATGCTCTGGTAGAGCCGGCTCCCAGGGGAGCGCTGGAGAGACACCCACTGACTTTGACTGCCAGAGGTCAGAGATGCTCTCTTACCCATCTTCTCTTTTTCACTTGTCCTTCTTTCTCTCCCCTCTCTTCTTTCCCATCTCATCTTTTCCACTTTTCTTCTTTCACTCTCCCCTTCTCCGTCCTCATTGCTCCCTCAGTTCATCATTTTCTCCGTCTTTCTGACTGCCTGTCAATAATGTGACATCATTAATCACAATTCCCCATCATTACCTTCTCTCCTCTCTCTCCCCTTCAGTTTACTTCTGCTTCATAGTCACAAAGTTAAGTGATCACAGTCAGCTTTTTTTTTTGCTACTTTCTCCCCTCCATAAATACCAATGATATGCCCTTGAGCTCAAGAAAATAAACTCCAGCGGAGGTTCTCAACAGCCAATCGTAAAACGTGCGATAATTGGACAGAAAAACTATACTTGTTCAGGTACAGTACAGTAGTCACTTCCTTGTTCTGTGCAATCAGTTTCAGCAGCTTGCATACAGATAAAGAAAGCACACTTAATGATGATGATGAAACATCCAGAGAAAATGTTTCATTCAGCACAGAAGAACTAATGATGGCCTGTGCCTGAAAATGTAATGTTTATGCACACTTTGTGTTCTTCCATCAAAGTAGGAAGGTGTGGTTCAAGGTGGTGATGGGGATGATTTCCATTGTTATAACTTGAAAGTGTGCCATTGCACAATTCAAAATGCGATTGTTGGTACGAGTATAATTTACACAGTAGTTAAGCCACAGTTCTGTGATGGGCAGAGCTGACTATGTGTGGATAAAAACAATGTGCACATACCGATATAGCATTCAATTAGGGTGTTGAATAATGGACTTCAGTTTGTTTACTTTTCAGATTATTCTTATTAGATATCATTTAGTTTTAAGTCAAATATATCAAAGCTTTCAGAAACACACACGAGAATCTTGGGAGTAATTATTGCTCTGATGTTGATTTGAACTATATTTACAAGTATTATTCTAAATAACTCAAATAGAAGGAGTGGTGGTAAACCCACTGTACACTCACTAAACAGCAAGTAGACACAGTTAGCAGATAGCTAGAAAACATAGTTGAGCATTTAACAGCCAGATATTTCCCTCAGGACTTGATGCAACCCATAGATGCTTTCTTTGACGCCTGATAAATAGTTCAGCAAAGCAGCTTTATTAGGTGGCCAAAAAAATTCAAACAATGTAGCTTTCAGTCGGCTATAAGTACAAAATTCTACTATGTTGACACAAATATTTGCTACTTCCTCCAAAATAAATGCGACCATAAATGTGGTTATTATAGAAAGAATGTAATGTATATGAAACGCTGGAAGCTTTTGCTGCTTTCATTCTTCACTTTCACATCTGTGGTAACTCTCAGTGAGCCACACGCAGCCCTGTTCACACATTCTGATGTCAGAGAACATGGCAGGGAGCAGTACTTCTAATGGGGTCATCATTTCCCTCCTGTATTAGAAGGCACCTACCACTCCTCAGTCAGAGTGGGAGGGTGAATCTCATACATTCATGCACTGTCAGTATTATTGGATGTACTACTCTCCCTCCAAATCAGCCACTGAGAATTCTATACGTAACTCTGCTCGGCTGTTTTGTCACATAGCAGCTGCAGCTAACATAGCTGACTGCATGCAGCTTGAACAGCAGCCTAGATACCATCTTAATTAACACTAAACATTAGCCTCAATCAGTGGCTGCCAAAGTGGAGCCTGGGGACCACCTGTGGTCCTACACTGGTCCCCAGGAAATTTAGAACAATTTCATTTTAACAGTGTCTTGCTCCCTAGATGTTGGTCAAATCTATCCTTGCTCTCACCTCCCAGCTTCAGTGCAGACAGATAATCATATCTAACAGCAGAAAATCTTCATAAGGTTTTCTTGGGACCAAAATGGACTAATACTCAGTTGACCTGAACAATTTGGGGAACATCTGGCCTTAATAATAGCTTACTTAAAGCCCCTGTGTGTAGAATTTTTATTTCTAATTAGAACATTTTTCTAATTATTTTGATGGTGTAAGTTTTAACAAAAGGGAACAATCCTGGCTGTTTGGGATCTGATAACGGGTTCCATTTAGGTTACAAAATACCATACTCTGTTAAACTCTGATTGGGTTACATCGGGAATTTCCCAGTTAAATGGATGGTAAATGGATCTGTACTTTTATAGCGCCTTTCTAGTCTTCTGACCACTCAAAGCTATACTTTTTGGGGCTCATAAATGTAATTCTGGATCTCCAGCATTGAAAGGATTCCGATTTGATAAGTGCATTCAATATTTGATTTGGATTCAGTAAAATATCAACAAACATCATTTAGTCAGGGGCTGGATACAGCAGGGTAACAGCTGTCTGCCACAGTTTCTAATTTGATACTACCACTAGAAATTGCCAGAGTCAGAAGCCGTGTGTAACATTTAGAAAAAATCTACTGCAGAAATGTAATAAAAAAATCCATGGAAATGTTTTCATTAGTGTTTTAATCACCTGAATGTAGGAACTGTAGGCAGTTTTTTTTACCACGGTCGGCTAACCAATAAAAAGAATTTGAACGGCTGAAATATTTGTAGGAAGACCAATAGCTTCTGCTACACAACTCCACAGCCTGCAACTTCACTGCTAAATGTGCACTAATTCCTAAGTCCTTTTAAGGTCCTGCTCCACTCCACAATTTGTTTCACTTATTATAACTTCACTTGGATGTTTGCGCTTCGCTGTGCAGAGTTCGACACTAGCAGGCTGTTTTCACATTCATCGGCTTAAGAGAGAAGGTTTCTGTTTTCTTTGTTTGACACATGTATGCACAAGCATGATTTATGACATCAGGGAGGGAGAAAGAGCAGATGTTTCCAAGAATTTTTAA